GCCCTGTCTACCCCATCTTCACCAGGTCTGCCCAGCAAGCTCTGGTCCCTAAGCTACAGGAGATGCAGACTTGCTTCAACCCACACTTCTGAAGAGTGGCTGTTGACATGCCATGACACACCACACTATGTAGACTTGCTTCAGCCCATACTTGTAGTTAAGAGTAGTTGCTGTCATGCCATGCCATGTCTTCCCATGCCATGCCATGACATGTCATGTAGACTTTCAGGTAGACCTGATGGGCACCAGCAGTAGAGCTGGTCAGAAAATGTGTATTGTGGCGTCGTGAGCTTAAACCTCAAGGAACATCAGCCCGTTCTTAGGGCAGAGCTGGTGAGTGTGGGACCAAGGTAAAGGGCAGAGAAGCACCAGCATCCAAACCAGACTGGGGGTGAGGAAGAAGAGGAGGAAGAGTTGCTGTCAGGATGTGGTTGCCAGAAGTTCTGCAAATCCTGCTCTACCCATCCCAGCTTTAACTGAGAGAGCACGGGATGAAGTGGGGCCAGGAGGGAACTGGAGGTGCAATCACCCAGGTCTCCTGGCCATGTGGGGGCAGATGTTTTGTTCAGAGACATGTAACACGGGAGCAGCACGTGATTTACTTGCAGTTCATCAAAAGGTCTCCCCGGGAAGTGGGGCTGACATCATATGGGAAGAAAAGACTGGGATGAAAGGCGCTTGGCTGTTGGCACAATCCCTACAATCAAAGTTGAGGTGAACATTAACTTAGATGAAGGGCCCTGATTCTCCTGTCAAGCCCTTGATGATGCTGTAGGACACGGGCTTCTTTGGATCCCAACAAGCCAGGCAGCGAGATTCACTGTGCTGGCAGACAACATCCCCAGAGTCTGACCACGGAACCAGTTTCACTCAGGATGAATCCAAGGCAAGGGCAGCCAAAGAGGTTTCTGAAGAGGCACATAAGGAGGTCTTGTAGCACCAGGAAGAAAAGACCAGGAGCACGGCTTGAAAATGCCAACAGAAGAGCTCCGCTTTGCTCCTCTGCTAAGTTTCTTTGGTAGCTACACAGCTTTAGGTGTGTTTGTCCATGGGTTTGCTTACAGAAGCTTTTAGGTCTTTAAAACCATTGGGTTTTAAAAGTCCTTCCAAGCCCAGATACCTCGTGGTCATCGCTACTTTTGTGATATGCTGATTTCAGTCTCTCTTGAGAAGGTCAGTGGGTTTTCTAGTATTTGAGCTCATTTTGAACTTAGACAGGTCAAGTTGGAGACGAGTGAGCTGGAGGTGCTGCGGTTGCTGGTTGAAGTGTAGATGAGGGACCAAGGGAGCCTGATTTCCCCCTTTAACCTCCTGTAACCTCTCTGCACCCCAGCTCCACTGCCCTGGACATCTCCTCCTTCAGGATCCAGCTTCTCAGGAGACTCCTGTCATATAAATAACAGCATCAAGGATGGAGACAGCTCACCCCTCAGGAGACAACGTTCCCATCCCTTAAGCAAATCGATGCCACTCATAAAACCAAATACTTCCTGCCGACCAGCTGTTCCCAGTCATATCCAGCACGGCCACAAAGTGGGTGAGTCTCCTCCATATTTACCCAGTGACCAACCCAAGGGAAACAATCGTGGCAGCTTCTGAGGCCCTCCCATAATAAACTTGATTAGTAACAATTAAAAACTCATTACAGCTCTAATTAGAGCCAACATAGTGCCACCTGGATTCATTCCCCAATAAGCTCATAAAATATTGTACCTATTATATTTCTTCCCATGTTCTAATGCAAAGAACGTCGCACGACTCACGCCCTGAGCCAGGTTTATGTGACAGATGTCTACCTGCTCTCCTCTCCTTCCAGCAGCTTCCTACGCACAGCAGCCTCAATGTCCAGGCTTATCTTCACGCCCCACAAGTCCTGATGTTCCTCCAGCACCTGGCCAAGCTCCCCTTTGGCTCCACTGAGGGCTCTGTAGGGTTCATCCCCTGAGCTTTTGGCTTTGTTGAGGGTGAGTTCTCCTTTCTTTCCACCTCAACAATGCTGGGAGGAAGGAAGGTGCTCTGAGTCCCACCAGCTGGGACCTCAGTGTCCTCTGAGGGCATTTACCCACCGGTGGTCTTGCACCAAACCAGTTGGTGCCTGGACAGACCAGCAACCTAGACTGTATCTCACAACCCCACGTCACTTGGACTGAGTGATGGAGAGACTCCGTATTAACACAACACAAGGAGTAAGGCATTTGCCATCTCGCTTTGAACTCCAGTCTTTGGAAGCCAGAAATGATCTGAAAGTGCAGGCAGGTCCTCGGCAGCACCTTGGCAGAGCCCACAGGAGGCTCCTGGGGCCAAGTTTCGTACCTGCACAGGCAGCACGTGGCCTTCTCTGCAGAAAACCAGACCTTACAAACCAACAAAACCCATATTTATTCTGTATTTTTTTATCCTCTAGGTCCCAAATGCCAACAGCTCTACCAAAAGGCTGAGGGACTTGGGTCTGTTTAGTCTGGAGAAGAGAAGGCTGAGGGGGGATCTGATCAACGCCTATAAATACTTAAAGTTTGGGAGTCAGGAGGATGGGGCCAGTCTGTTTCTAATGGTGCCCAGGGACAGGACAAGAGGAAACGGGCACAAACTTGAACATACGAAGTTCCATCTCAACATGAGGAGGAACTTCTTTCCTGTGAGGGTGGCAGAGCCCTGGAAGAGGCTGCCCAGAGAGGTGGTGGAGTCTCCTTCTCTGGAGACATTCAAAACCCACCTGGACACGTTCCTGTGCAACCTGCTCTGGGTGACCCTGCTCTGGCAGGGGGTTGGACTAGATGATCTCCAGAGGTCCCTTCCAACCCCATATGATTCTGTGAAAAAGCATGAAAGAGTTGTCACTGCTTGATCACACTGAGGCTGTTTCACAAGTAAATTTGCTCATTTTAGGCAAAACAGGCCCCCGTTGCAGCAAATATGGATTTACCTCTACAAGAGAGCTCACAGGCAGCACAGTGCCCCATGGAAGGGAGGAAGAGGAGTCTGGTCACCGGGGTGTTGGGACCTTTCATTCAAGCGTGATGCACTTGAGCAATTAGCATTCCTCCCTCTTTCCCGAGCACAGCAGATGGGACAGATAAACTCTGGCACCTCCGTGTGTTGTAGCCTGGCCCCTCTCCAGGAAAAACTCAGGGAGCTTCTAAAAAAGCCTGTGGCTTTCTGCAGGGCGAAGGCTGCATCTTTGGCTTCCTGGGTTTCAACACAATCCCAGATCTTGACCCTTCTCCCAAAAGAAGTCCCCAGGAATTCTGTGGGCCTTCATCCCGTATCCATCCGTACCTGTCCTGGGACTCTGCACTGGGAGGAGGAAGTAGGAGAGATGACTTCTTGGCCTCTCCCAACCCAACTTATAAATTTTAGAGTCAGAAATGCCATCATTTCTTCAAACAAGAGAAGAAGGCATATTATAGCCTGGCACAAACATCAGGTGATGAAGTCAGGTGTGTCGACTGAAGGCATATTTGTGGGAAAATAAGAAAAGGGGCATGAAAGTAACACTAGTTCAGATGAGAACTATCTTTTTTTTTTTCCTCATTTGTTTTGTTCTCTGCAACCCAGACCTTCTCCATTTCCCTGCTCTCCTCCAACAACCGCCGGGGGCTGCACCTGGGTGATGCTCACGCTGTGGAGCAGTCAGGGCTGATTCACCGACTGGTCCGGCTCTCGCTCCTCCCGCTGCTGGAGAAGAATCCAGCCAGGTATTAATCAAGTTAATTTGGTTGCAAGGGGACGTCATTTAGAGAGGGCTAATGACTAACCTGGCTGGGCAACCTGGAGTTATAATAGCAGGTTTGGGGCTGTGTCTCATACTTTCATGCTGCTTTTTTTCCATGAGTAATTTGTGTCCACGCAACATCTTCAGGCTTCCCACCACTCTCGTTTGAGGTGCCGGTGCCTGTGTAAGAGCCCTGCTCGCCATGTAGATGGTGCTGCTTGTCCTTGTGCCGACCAGGCATGGAGGATGACCACTCTTCATCTGTGAAGACCTGTCACTGGTGGCCTCCCCCATCGAGGCCTCCAGGGTGCCTGGGTGGGAGCTCTAGGCACCATCAGGACTGAGGTACCTCAGGGTGATGGGTGGGCTGCGTGTCCTCTTGGGATGACCGAGGACTGGTGCTCACTGCCACATCCCAACTCCGATGGTCAAACCACCACATCCCAATGGCCACATTCAAACTACGCATCCCCATGGCCACGTTCAAACTGCCACGTCCCAACAGCAGTGGCCAAACCACCCCAGTCGCACTGCCACATCCCAACTCTCATGTACAAACTGCCACGTCCCAATGGCCATGTTCAAACCACCCCATTCTAACGGCTGGGTTCAAGTTGCCACCAAGTCCAACTGCTGCGTCCTGGTGGCCACGTTCAAACCACCGTGTCCCAATGGCCACGTTCAAACTGCCATCTCCCAATGACCGTGGTCAAACCACCCCATCCCTGGTCAAACCACCCCATTCCAACGGCTGTGTTCAAGTTGCCAAGTCCAACTGCTATGTCCCGGTGGCCACGTTCAAACCATCCAGTCCAAATGCCACAATTGCCCTGTTCAGACCACTACGACCAAACCGTGCCATCCAGACAACTGTGTACCAACCGCCACCATACATTGCCATGTCCCAACCCCAGTGTCCCCAGTGGTGGCCCTGCCTGACTCCCTCCTGAGGTGCCCATCAACGGGGGCTGGACGCTTCATCCTCCTACTATTGGGGCAAGCACAATCCCCCTCCACCTCATGGCCACTAGGTTGACTTTGCATGTTCCCTTCCTGTGCCACACTCCTTACAGCCATGGGTCTCCCACCCCACAGAGAGATAAGGAGTCTACTGTGGAGGAGCAAGATGGCACCTCCTAAGAGGAGAGAGAAAGGCCATATTCCTCCTCCTCACCTCAGCTGGGTGCTGAGTGATTTGCACTGTAGGCATTGCTGTTCCTTGCGGCCAAAAACAAAGCATGTTTTCCCTCCCCTGAGGACCATTAAGTGACAAGACAACACCAAGGTATCTTTTCATCTGCCTGCAGTTTATTGGTAATGAAAGAACTCGGAGGAAAGGGGTGCTGGTAGGAAGCAACCATGCAGTAGGGTTCACGCAACAGAAGGTTTGCAATAAGGCCGTACATACATCAAGTGTGAAGGAGAAGAGGGAAAGAAATCTATAAAATATTAAAGCTGCCAAATTACTCCACCAGCGGAAGGTGGACATCTCCAGAGACCTCTTTCTCACTCCTAAATCTGACTATGAGACATTATCACCTTTCTTCTGCTCACATGAGTTCCCGATACAGCTGAAACAAGCGTGTGGGTACCATGCAGGACACGCGGGAGTCGCAAGGGAAATGTGGCCATTGAAAAAGAGACCTTAAAAAGTGAAAGGAAAGAGCAGTTTTATACACACTCCTCCTCAGCCAGCACGGCAGCCCGGGGCGGCAGCGAGAAGAGCAGCCGGAGATGCTCGGATGAGCCCTGCAGTCCCTGGGACCCACAAGGGAGACCTCTCCTCCCTGGAGACTGGTGGGATGGAGACATCAGAGAGGAGCCAGGCTCTGCCCACAGGACGGTGGAAGACCTCCCCTTGGGCAGGAGGGTTGAAGGAGGTTGTGAGCTCTGAGGGAAAGAGTTCGTTTCTTTGCTGGGTGCCGGTTGGGGAAGGAAAGGGCTGCGCTGCTGGCTGGAGGAAGGAAAAGGTGCTTCTTTCCTTGGAGGGACTGAGGTCAGGGCTCAGTATTTCACACCCGACGACTTGACCGTTGTGGTCGTGACACATCTCCGCACCGAGGAGGATCCACCCCCTGAGATGAAGTTGCCACCTCCGGAGCTGCACATTCTCCCACTCCCAGAGGAGAAGCCACCACTGATAATCCCTCCTCCCATTCCACAGCTGCCTCCAATGATGCTTCCTCCTCCGACCGTACATACTCCTCCTCCCATGCCACTACCGGCTCCGAAGCCACCAGCTCTGCCCCCGGCGATGGTGGTTCTGCCCACCACAGCTGCAAGAGAAGGAGAGGCTCACTCTACAGCCTGGGAATACTCACGAAACCCAGGGGACAAGCCACTCTGCAGAGAAGAGGATGTAAGGATACTTACAGACGTTGACGTTGGATGGGTTATCTCCACAGAGCCTGTGCAGGGAAAGGAAAGAAGATGTAAATCTAACCTAAGAGGAAGCAGTTAAGCTCCCTGCAATTTCCCAAGTACTCCTCTTATTTCCCGCTTCATTTAACATCAATTAAAACCCCTGAGAAACATTCCCTGTGGGGATCTCGGTTGTATTTTGGGCTTAAAACCTTGGGGGGAAAAATGAAAGTAAATCAGATTCCAACATTCAAAGGGTTGTGAGAGGGGATTAAACCTCAGCCTGTCCCAAGGGGAGAGAGTACCTTGGTCAGGAGAAAGTGACAGCAGATCCTACCTGTTCTCCTCTCCCTCCAGCAGCTTCCTGTACATGGCAATCTCAACATCCAGGGCAATCTTGATGTTCAGCAGCTCCTGGTACTCCTTCAGCAAGCGAGCCAGCTCCTCCTTGTCTTTGCTCAGGGCACATTCCAGCTCTTCCAGTTTCCTCCTGGCATCCTTGACGGCCATCTCACCCCGCTCCTCAGCCTCAGCAATAGCTGACTGCAACTGATGGTTCTGAGAAAATGAAAAGGAAAGGAGTTTCTCAGTTGCCTCCTTCACACCCTCCACTGGAGCTGCCCTCAGGGCACAAATGGATAGAAAACAGGCAGGAACCATTAATCTTCTCCAAAGGACCTGAATTTCAATGACAATATTTCCTTCATGCTACCCTTAGTACACCACCCAGCTCAGTTGTGACCCAGCCCGATGCCACCACACAACAAGATGCTGAGGAACCCCTACCTGCTTCTTCACGTTCTCAATCTCAGCCCGCAGCCTCTGGACATTGCGGCTCAACTCTTGGATCTCAATCTTGGTGTTGCGAAGGCTGTCCCCGTGCCTTCCAGCGGTGGTCTGCAGCTCTTCATACTGATAGCACCAAGACAATGTGACCCATTAGTGACACAACCAACCAAAAACTCCAAGTTCCCTTGCTCTGTGGCAAGGAACCCAATGATCAGCAGAGATTGTCCCAGGTGGCTTGATTTCTTCCCAACTCACCCTGCTCTGGTACCAAGCCTCGGCTTCGGCCCGGCTGTTCTGAGCGATCTGCTCGTACTGGCGCCTGACCTCCTCGATGATGCTGTCCAGATCCAGGTGCCGGTTGTTGTCCATAGACACCACCACAGAGAGGTCCCGGCTGATCGTCTGCATCTGAGCCAATTCCTGCAACCAAGACAGGAGTGAGCCTGACTGTCTGAGGAGGGGAGAAAGGAGCTGAGACTCCAACCAGCCTCCCCAGACCACATCCACATGGGCACCCAGGGCAACCTCAGTGTTCTCAGCCACCACGCCCCTCATTACAACTCCAGCCAACTCTATCCCAGGGTAAGGAAGACCTCTTACCTCCTCATAGATGCACCTCAGGAAGTTGATTTCATCGGTGAGAGCTCCCACCTTGGCTTCCAACTCTACTTTAGTCATGTAGGCACAGTCCACATCCTACAGGAAAGATCACACACATAGACAACAACTTCATCCCATCCCAGAAGAGTTGTTGGCAGCCAATGCCTCCTCTTAGAAGCTTCCCATCTTGATGCTCCCTCCACCCAATGACTTGGCAGCCTTCCCCCTCACCCCTTCTCTCCTGGTGCCTCTGGGACTCACCTTCTTGAGCACCACAAACTCATTCTCAGCAGCCGTGCGCTTGTTGATTTCTTCTTCATACCTGTGGAAAGGGACAGGACAAGGTGAGTCTCTTGGACTGCTCCTCAGTCAACCAGCAGAACCCCCATTCCCTCCATGGCAACCTCGGTCCCATTCCTACAGAGCTCCAGAGCAAAGGGAGGACAGGCTGGAGATCTCCCAGCTGCCTCAGCTCTCCTCTCTGGGGGCTCCTTTCTTCCTCAATCTCTCACTGCCCTTACTTGGTTTTGAACTCCTCCACGTATTGCCGCATGTTCTGCAGTTCCGACTCCAGCTGCCCCCTCTGTCCCAGGAGAGACTCCAGCCTCCTCCTCAGGTTCTGGATGTAGTTTTCAAAGATGACATCAAGGTTCTTCCTTGGTCCTGTAGGTCCTTGCTGTTGGAGGAGCTCCCACTTGGTGGAGAGGACCTTGTTCTGCTGCTCCAGGAAGCGGACCTGAAAGCCCACAAAAGTGTGTGTGAGACATTCATCCGGGGAGACATCCCTCTACTCAAACCTCCTGCCTATTATTTGGGAGGCCAAGGGGAATTCTTTCCCAAATCCCCACCAGGATTGTGGCTGCTTGAAAGCCAGTTACCCAGAAGGATGATTCCTCCCTTCTTTCTCCTCTTTTTTCAATTTTCCTCAAATGTCTCCTCTTTTCTCCTCCTGCATTTCTGCTCTTTTTTAATTAACTATTTGGATGACTACATTCCAGATTTGCAGATTATTGTCATTTCCAATTGCAAATTTTGACCCACATTAATTTACAGAAGCATCAGAACATTTTTTTTTCCTTCCAACGAATGAAATCCCAAATGTCCTAATACCAGAGAAAATTCCTGTTTTCAGATACAAAAAGTATTCAATATATATGTCATATATTAAAGAAAAAAACTATGAAGAACATTTATAACCAGTGTTCTCCCAGTGCAGACAGTCTAAAGAATGCCCATCTGTATCTGAGCTGAAATAAGGAACAGCCAGGAATTAACTGAAAGCTCATTCCTACCTTCTGAGTTCCTTGAGAAGAGACCACCCTTGAATCAGGACAGACTTAAAGAATCACATATCTCATGATCCCTTTGGCCTGGCTGCACAGAGAAATGCTGAGGGAGAATTTGGATCAACCAAACCTAGAGAAAGTCCTTTGGTTTCTCTGCGGGTGTAAAATTTTTACATCTCCTTAGGAGGACTCAACGAACACACTACCAACCTTCCAGACCTGCCCACACTGAGCTGAGAAGGACAATATTTCCCTCTCCACAGCACAGGAAAGTTCCTCCGAGTGCCCATTCCCAAGAAAACACAGTTCCAGCTTCTCACCTTGTCAATGAAAGAGGCAAACTGATTGTTAAGAGTCTTGATCTGCTCCTTCTCCTGGCACTTCACTTGTTGGATCTGAGGATCAATGTCAACATGGACCGGCCGCAAGAGGGTTGGGTCAACCTGCACCGGCTGGATGCCTCCAGGGAACCCAGGACCACCTCTCACAGGACCACCAAAGCTGCCTATTCCTCCACCAATGACACCTCCTCCAATGCTGCCAAATCCTCCTCCAAAGCCTCCACCAAAGCCACCAATTCTACATCCATATCCACCGCCAAAAGAGCCACCCATGGAAATTCTTCCGCTGCCACCCAGGTTATGGAGGCTCCTGCTGCTAAAACCTCCACAACGTCCGCTGCCTCCGATCCCCCTTGACGTAGAGAACGAGCTATAGCTGATCCTGCTTCTGCCCCCACTTCCTCCAAAGCCACCACCAATGGCAGAGCAAGAGCTGTATCCCCTTTTGCTGCTGCCTCCAAAGCTTCTGCAGATTGACTGGCGAGACATGGCTGTTCCTTCCACACAGAGCCGAGGAGAGAAAGAAAGACCAAGAGATCTGTGGTGCTGGGGGATGGATGCCGAGAGAAGTGTGCGCTGTCTTCTCTGGCCCCACAGCTCCAGGCATTCCCTTTTATCTGTTTCTGGAGGTGGGCTGGGTCTACAAGGGCGTGAGGAGGAAACAAATTTACTGTCTTCATCAGCTTGGTGCGGTTAACAGATTTTTGCCAAATTGTTGACTCCACCCAGAAATATGCTTTGCAATGTGAATAAAAGAGCAAGAGCATGGAAACAGATCTCAGTGAGTAAGTGGACTCTCCTATCTTTATGGCATCTGGGAAAATATGTTTTACAATGATGTAGTCATGTTCGTCCCTCCTCCCACCTTTCCATCCACTGGTAATGATTTCGCAGTTTGTCTGGATTGGGATCTTTTGCACCGACGCTCAATCTACAGGCAAGCGTTTTGGTGAAAAGCACCTAGAACGAGACTTTCACAACTCCCCCAAGCACGCCCCAGATCTCCTGCTTAAGTGGAAAATTGCCGGTGCCTTCCCAAGCAGTAGTTTCCCAACTCAGAGCAAGAAAACCACAAATTAACATTTAACAACAATCATCATTTCTGTTTTATCCAGAAAGGAGGTGCTTCATTCCTCTCCTACCAGCACCAGTTGGGATGGGAGTGCCTTCTTCTAGGACACGTTCTTGCAAAACGCATCTCCCGGAGTCCCAGAGAACCAAGGACCGGGACTCTGAGCACTGGAGAGGAATGAGTAAGAGATCAAGGATGTCCAAGCTCCTTCCTTCTGCTTTTCAGATGGCCACAGGCATCACCCAACCTGCTGAGGGATGAGAGGACAGTTCGGGCACGAAATGTGGTAATGATGGCTGGAGACTGACAGAGAGCAGAGAAAGGCGGACGGGGATCACTGGGACTTGTCAAACTCATCTTTTTTTAACCAAAGTTGGTAGGCAAATGATCGGGCTGAGTTCATCACACTTGATCATTTTGAAAAAGGGGGTCACTAGAAGGCAGAAGAAGCTCTGGTGTTTCCCTAAGAACAGTTCGAGTATTGATGATGATGAATTGTGCAGTGGGAGATCTGGTATCTTTGCCCAATCTTTGACCACCATAAATTCGGGGGTGGGGAGAGGGGGGGGTATGAATAAGGGGATCCTGAACAAATTAGAAAAAAGCTGCTTCAAAGGAGAAAACCATAAAGTTTGACTTTGTGCAGAGGCGATGAAGTAGGACATTCACCTTTGCACATTCATCTCTTCTGCATCTTCTTAATCAAATATACATTTAGTTAAATGTATGAACTTCAAGTAAAAACAACATTTTCCCTACTGCTAAGCTTCTGTAAATCATCAGTAAATGTTAAAGGGAGTATATTTTACAGCCTTCCCAGCACTTCAGCAGCCCAATATTATACTGCATTTAAGCTTTAATGTGGAATAAAACCCATAAGACTTGTGTAAGTAAATGTTGTTGGAAAGTGTCACTGGGTACCAGCCTTCACCCACAGGCACTTCAGAGCCTTTGGAAAACCATCCCAGAGAATCACTTTCAAAAGCCACTGGAGGAATCAGAAAGAGAAGTTCCATTGTCACCGAGACAGAGGCTGCTTGAGACCACAGAGTCTTCACAGAGTGGGGTGTGAGAGAGTGGAGAACATTACCCTTGAGGGACTGGTGTAACGGTTGGCCAAGAGATATCCTGCCCTTGAGGGACTGAAGGGACAGTTGGCCAAGGGCTATCCTACCCTTGAGGTACTCATATAATGGTTGGCCAAGGGCTATCCTACCCTTGAAGTACTCATATAATGGTTGACCAAGGGCTATCCTACCCTTGAGGGACTCAAGGGACAGTTGGGCAAAGGTTGTCCTACCCTTGAGGGACTCAAGTCATCATTGGCCACGGGTTGTCTTACCCTTGAGGGAATCAAGTAATGGTTAGCCCAAGGGTTATCCTTCCTTTCAAGGACACAAGACATCATTGCTTGAGAGTTATCCAGGTGTGTGTGTCCTGACCACTGTAACAAGTTGCAGCTGGAGTGGCAAGCCATCCCCAGAGCAGGGACAGGACACCTTTCTTTTCCAAAGCACCTTGGATGAAGAGGCTCTTAGTTCTTGGAGAGTTAAGAGCGTTAAGTCCTCCAGATGATTCCACAGATGAGTGCAGCAGCTCACGATGAGCAGTTCCAGGGAGGTGCGGGGTAGCTCAGTTTTTACGAGAGAAAACAAGTCATCCCTCCTCATGGCCTCCCTCCAGGTTGCCAAATGCTCCCTTTCCTGGTAGGCAGCAGGATTTGGTTGTGCCATCCCACACAGCAGCTCCACCATGAGGGGGAAGATCTGTTAAGTCAGCCGAATGCCTGGCTGCTGACCACACTCAGCACATGCAGATAAGACGCCCAGGTTGAGTCACTCTGACGTCTTCAGACAAGATGTGGAGATTATACCAAAGCTGGAGTCACTTCAGCCTCCTCCAGGTAAAACTCGATAGACAGCCCGGGCTCCAGCCGCTCTCTCTCATCTCTTACGCAAGGAGCTGCGCGCAGCAAAATCCTCCACACCGGGCAAAATGTAAACTCTGCAGAAAATCTATCGGAGACCAAGCCAGGCTGCAGCTTTGGATCTCACACAGCACAGAGGTTCTGGCGACACAGAGGGGGATGTTGCAATGACTCCTCACAACGATGCCTATAACGCCGTGTTTCAGAGTGTAAAGCTGAGAAGAAACATAGTCTTAAAATTAAGAACAAAAAGAGCTGACTCTTGCCCCAGGCCAAACCCCAAAGCGCTCTTTTGGCACAGCCCCAGCTTCTCAGAGGCATCGCCTTCTCGTCGTCTTCACTTTGGGCCAAACCCCAACCAGGTTCCCTGAGCTGTAACCATTCCCCACCGCTTCGCCTGGACCTCCTCCCAGATCTGCAGCTTCCTGACCTGCTCCGGGGACACAGGCTGCTCACAGCAGGTTCTTGTGGGACTCCTGAACCACCACTGAAAGCCCTTTGTGTCTCTTTGATCCCTTCTTGTGGTGGAGGAACTGAAGCACAGATCAAACACACCAATGTTCTTCTCCCATTCCTCCTCCTCGAGCCAGACCAAAGCTCTCCCACTTGCTCTCTCTCCAAAGAGGAGACACTGGGGAGGTCTTGTCTGGCTTTTCAAGGGAGCTGATGGCTCCCTGAGCCCACGGGTTTGGGATCAATCGTGCCTTCCCAGCCCTTCATGTTCCCACCGCTGGTCAGTGGAGGGGAGGATGAGTTGGTGGTTCTCAAGCCCTCCTGGTGCCCGGAGGGTGACGAGCTGTGCAGCCTGCTTGGCCACAGCCCACTGGTGCACCAGAGGAGAGGTGCTTGGCCAACATCCATGTCCACGCCTACAGGCAGCTGTAGACCTGCCCTCCCACCACGGCCCACAAGGCTCCTACCGTTGCCACTTTCCCCCACCACAAAGCAAAGTCCACTCCAAGGCAGGAAACTGAGATGAACTGACAACAGACTGATCTGATGTCTGTTCCCACCCTGCCCCTGCCGATTTCCATCATCAATCAACATGGTTGGGTCTCTACTGGTTTCACCACTCTGCTCTGGCAGCGTTCCTGCCCAAATCTCATCAGTTTCTGCTTGTGGCTTCAGCGTACCCCATATAGACCTTCTTCCTGCTTGAAAAACCTGAAATCCAAGAGAAAGATTGACAAAAGCCCTTTCCTAGAAGAGCAGAGATTTGTGTGTTACCAGACCTCTCTGGTAGGATGTGACATGGGCACCAGGGCTCTGAGTGTCTTAGTTGGCATCAAGGCTGAGCCCTAAATATTGGCACGGGGTATCCTGGAGCCTCCTCATTCGTTCAAAAGGTGCTGGACCCCTGTGTGTTGGAGTTTTCTGGACAGAGCAAATGAAGATATCTGTGAAAACGACTATACCTGACTCCAAGGATGGAGCTACATTAGGACCTGCCCAAATATTTAGCAGCCTCCTGAACTCCTCCAGTTTGGACTGGTGTCAGTTTGGACTGCTCACATTCACTGTGAACTGTGTGAACTGAGCACTCAGAACCCCACCGGTCTTGGTACGGTCTTGGGCTTTCAGGCACTGAGATGACTGATGAGAGTCAGGAGGCACCACGCAGGCTTGGACACTTCCCTGGCTCCCATTCAGTTCCCTCAAGAGCACGGTGAACAGAAGAACAACCCACAGCTTCCCACCAACCACCTTCCCCAACAGCTAAAGCCACCTTGCCTAGAAGTGGCCTCCAAAACGACAACACATAGACATAATGAATGTTCTCTGCAATTTATTGAGAATACCACACACAGAAGAGGAAGGGAGGTGGGGACAGTACATCTCGTTCCATGTCACAGGAGGCCTGGCACTGATGAGCAAGCTTTGTTCTCTTTAGGAAAAGTCCACGTGTGCCTGAGGTGTTACCAGGTGTGATGGAGAACAAGGACAAGGGGAACTGGAAGCCACTGCTCCACCTGGGGCTACCAGGTGAGCAAAGCTTCCCAGGTGCTCCACCCTGGGGCAGTTAATCCTTCTGGCAACCAGCTGCGAAGATGCTCCACCACTGGCTCTGCCAAGGGAGGAGTCCCACTTGCCCCACACCTACCCTGGCCCCCAAGGCTAGTGAATGGAAGCAGCAGGATGTACCGCATGCAGAAGCACCCCAAGGATACGGCCATTGAGGAAGGGACATGAGAACAGCGGAAGAAAGAGGAGTTTTATACACATTTGCCACGAGGCAGCCAGAAATGTACAACACAGCGAGAGAGGCAGAGCCTTTCCCTCCTGTAAATCAGCTCTTCGTGCCGGGAATCCACGGGGGAGGCTTGGGGCTAAGGAGCAGCTCTCCAGGGCTGCTAATGGGACATGGCACTGCCTTGTCTCCCTCGATGGGACCAAGCCAGGTGGATGAGCTGGTGCATGGTGGGCCATGAGGGACACAGTTTGTTTCGTTACAGGATGCTGGAGCTGGGTTTCAGGAGGCTGGGCTGCTGCCGGGAGAAGAGGGGAGATGCTTCTTTCTGTTTTCAATCTGGCTTTGGGGCTCAGAACCTCACTCCTGAAGACTTGACGGAGGTGGTCGTGACACATCTCCGTACGGAGGACGATCCCCCGCCGGAGCTGAAGTTGCCACCTCCAGAGCCGCACATCCTTCCGCTTCCAGAAGAGAAGCCACCGCCGTACGATCCTCCTCCCATTCCACAGCTGCCGCCCATGCTTCCACCTCCAAAGCCACCTCCTACTCCACAGACGCCACCTCCCATGCCGCTGCCACCTCCGAAGCCTCCTCCCATTCCGCTGCCACCTCCGAAGCTTCCTCCCATGCTTCCTCTTCCTCCAGAGACGGTGGTCCTGCCTACCACAGCTGGAAGAGAAGCACAGGTTACATACACGTCGCCCATTGGCTGGTTGTACCTCTAAAAAAGACATCATCTGAAGGAAAGAGATGCAGATACTTACAGACATTGACGTTGGACATGCCATCGTTGCAGAGCCTGTGAGGGAAAAGAAAACGATTAATCCCATGGGAGGTGCATGTTTCTTCAGCTGAGAGTTTCCCTTTTTTTAGAAGGTTTACAATTCCTGATTCTTTCTGAATTTCCCAATTGTTCCTTTAAACAAATGAGCTACCTTGACCTCAACGTTCTTATACGAAATATGGAGAACACACTTATCACTAAGAATTAGAACATGAGCGATATGAAATTTATCTTTAGGATGTATGCAAAGATTTTACCCACAAATAGTATGATCTGTTGAGAAATTAGTCAGAGACACAAAGAAAGAGAGGTACCTGTTCTCCTCTCCCTCCAGCAGCTTCCTGTACATGGCAATCTCAACGTCCAGGGCAATCTTGATGTTCAGCAGCTCCTGGTACTCCTTCAGCAAGCGAGCCAGCTCCTCCTTGTCTTTGCTCAGGGCACCTTCCAGCTCTTCCAGTTTTACCCTGGCATCCTTGAGGGCCATCTCACCCCGCTCCTCAGCCTCAGCAATAGCTGACTGCAGCTGCTGGTTCTGAGAAAATGAAAAGGAAAGGAGTTTCTCAGTTGCCTCCTCCACACCCTCCACTGGAGGCAACCTCGGGGCAATAACTGGGTGGAAAAATAAGCAGGAACCATCAGTCTCCTCAAAAAGACCTGAATTTCAAAGAACTACATTTCCCTCACACTGTTCCACCCATCTCAGTCATGACCCAGCCCGATGCCACCACACAACAAGATGCTGAGGAACCCCTACCTGCTTCTTCACGTTCTCAATCTCAGCCCGCAGCCTCTGGACATTGCGGCTCAACTCTTGGATCTCAATCTTGGTGTTGCGAAGGCTGTCCCCGTGCCTTCCAGCGGTGGTCTGCAGCTCTTCATACTGATAGCACCAAGACAATGTGACCCATTAGTGACACAACCAACCAAAAACTCCAAGTTCCCTTGCTCTGTGGCAAGGAACCCAATGATCAGCAGAGATTGTCCCAGGTGGCTTGATTTCTTCCCAACTCACCCTGCTCTGGTACCAAGCCTCGGCTTCGGCTCTGCTGCTCTGAGCGATCTGCTCGTACTGGCGCCTGACCTCCTCGATGATGCTGTCCAGATCCAGGTGCCGGTTGTTGTCCATAGACACCACCACAGAGAGGTCCCGGCTGATCGTCTGCATCTGAGATAATTCCTACAACCAAGACAGGGAGCCCAAGTGACTCTCAAGCCTAAATCCACATGGGCAACCTCGGGGTTTCTGGCCACCAATTTGCCTCATTGCAACTCCAGCCAGCAAATGGGAAGGGAGAGCTCTTACCTCCTCATAGATGTATCTCAGGAAGTTGATTTCATCGGTCAGAGCTCCCACCTTGGCTTCCAACTCTACTTTAGTCATGTAGGCACAGTCCACATCCTACAGGAAAGATAGACATAGACAACAACTTCATCCCATCCCAGAAGAGTTGTTGGCAGCCAATGCCTCCTCTTAGAAGCTTCCCATCTTGATGCTCCCTCCACCCAATGACTTGGCAGCCTTCCCCCTCACCCCTTCTCTCCTGGTGCCTCTGGGACTCACCTTCTTGAGCACCACAAACTCATTCTCAGCAGCCGTGCGCTTGTTGATTTCTTCTTCATACCTGTGGAAAGGGACAGGACAAGGTGAGTCTCTTGGACTGCTCCTCAGTCAACCAGCAGAACCCCCATTCCCTCCATGGCAACCTCGGTCCCATTCCTACAGAGCTCCAGAGCAAAGGGAGGACAGGCTGGAGATCTCCCAGCTGCCTCAGCTCTCCTCTCTGGGGGCTCCTTTCTTCCTCAATCTCTCACTGCCCTTACTTGGTTTTGAACTCCTCCACGTATTGCCGCATGTTCTGCAGTTCCGACTCCAGCTGCCCCCTCTGTGACACGATTGATTCCAGCTGCCTCCTCAGGTTCTGGATGTAGTTTTCAAAGATGACATCAAGGTTCTTCCTTGGTCCTGTAGGTCCTTGCTGTTGGAGGAGCTCCCACTTGGTGGAGAGGACCTTGTTCTGCTGCTCCAGGAAGCGGACCTGAAAGCCCACAAAAGTGTGTGTGAGAGATTCATCCGGGGAGACATCCCTCTACTCAAACCTCCTGCCTATTATTTGGGAGGCCCAGGGAATCTTCTCCCAAATGCCCAACCACGGCTCATTCAAACATCCAAGCTCCTGAAGTGCATGGCAAGCATTATTACATTTTCGGTCATTGTGAGCTTCTCACTTTTGGACAAAAAAGAGTTGCCAATAGAAAACAGCATCCCTATTTCCCATAGCTCCAGTTTTGGACATTGCTGTTGTCTTCGCAGTAGTGAAGTCAAGAAAAGAATGATTTTTTTTTTTTTCTTCTAACTGAATATACATTCTCCTACAAGCAATTCCATATTTCTTTGGCTTCTATTTGAAATAAAAATAATCAAAGAGTGTTGGAAAGGCATTTAACACTCGTAAGTTTATAGAATCAGTTCCTTGTAAAGAAAGTTTCTCACAAAGAAAAGCTTGGTAATGAGAACTCTTAGGCAATTACATCTACGATGATGACTTTATCCTGAATCACTAGAAATTATATTGAAGAGATGACGAGGCAAGAGACTCTACAGAATGTTCTTCAGATGTTCTCGTTAATCTTCCATTAGTGTGAAAATCACATCTATTGTTCAGTATTACTTAATGACACCTTAATAATAACCTGCTACCGAGGCATCAGTCATGGGAACGTTAACAAGCGCTTGTTGGTAACAAAAACCATCCCTTTGCACACCACAGAAAGTCATTGAAAATGCCCACCTCCAAATGAGCACGGTCCTAAATTCTCACCTTGTCAATGAAGGAGGCAAACTGGTTGTTAAGAGTCTTAATCTGCTCCTTTTCCTGGTTTTTCACTTGCTGGATTTGAGGGTCAATCTCAACATGGACCGGCCGCAGGAGAGATGAGTCAACTTGCACCGGCTGGATGCCTCCAGAGAAGCCAGGGCCACCAAAGCCACCCATTCCTCCAGGGCCCATTCCTCCAGGGCCCATTCCCCCACCACCCATTCCTCCACCAAAGCCACCCATTCCTCCACCAAAGCCACCCATTCCTCCACCACCCATTCCACCACCACCCATTCCTCCACCAAAGCCACCCATTCCTCCACCAAAGCCACCCATTCCTCCACAACTCATTCCTCCGCCAAAGCCACCCATTCCTCCTCCGTAGCCTCCACCAAAGCCACCCATTCTGCCTCCGTAGCCTCCACCGCCGTAGCATCCTCCCACAGCGATTCTTCTGCTGCCACCCATGTTGTGGAGGCTTCTGCTGCCGAACCCTCCACCATATCCACCTCCTCCACCTCCCCTGGATGAGGAGTAGGAACTGTAACTGATCCTGCTTCTGCCGCCACCTCCTCCAAAGCCACCACCGACAGCAGAACAAGAGCTGTAGCCCTTTTTACTCCCGCCTCCAAAGCTTCTGCAGACAGACTGACGAGACATGGCTGTTTCTTCTGAGTCGAGTCAAAAAATCAAGGAGAGCAGAAGGACCCAATGGAGCTGCGATGCTGAGGAACGAGTGCGGAGAGAAGTCTGCAGCCTTCTCTGGGTCCACAGCTCCAGGGACTGCCTTTTATCCACATCGGGAGGTGGGCTGGGACGGCCTGGGCGTGAAGGTGGAAGCCAATTTAATATTTCCATCAGCATGGTGTTGTTGACAGATTCCCAGTTGAGCTTTACCATATTTGGGCCTGGATAGAAACACACCCTGCAATAGAGGGGTGAATAAAAGAACAAGAACATCGGAACAGGTCTCAGTGACTAAGTGGACTCTCGTATCTTTATGACATCTTGGAGATCGACTTTTACAATAATGCCCTTTTCTGTGGCCCCTCATTGGTTTTCCAGCCTTCATGGTTCACAATTAATTAGTTAATTAATTAAGGGTTCCCAATAATTCCAGATATAGATCTGTCCAGTCAAAGCTCCACTTAAAGCTGCTGTTTTGATGACACCCCAGCTATAATTCCAGCTTTCACAATTCCTTAAACACACCCTAAATCCCCTTTTTATATGTAAAATTGCCTTTGGCATTTCAGAAGAGGTTTCCCAATCCTGAGGGAGAACTCAAGACACCGAAGTTTGAAGAGACTCAGCACATTCTCCGCTAGAAAGGAGTTACATCTCCTTGAAGTGTGCGTGGTGTCACTTTGGATGGGAGTGTCTTCTCCCCATGGATTAAAATTCCCTCCAACCGTGTCTTCCCAAGTCTGTGATGACCAACTTGGGACCTTGGATGATGCTGGAGCGGAGTGAAGGAGGCAACTCGATGACTGATCTTCATCTCTGTGCTCTTTGGAGGGCGATGGGGAATTACGACCCGTGGAGGAACGGAGGGACATGTTGGGCAGCCACTTTGGTGACAATGGTTGCGGACAGACAGACAAGCACCGTAGAAGTGGAAGGACAGACGGACAGTTCAAGGTAGTGAGGGGTTCTACTGCTCAGGTGAATGTTGCTGATCGCTCCTTTACCCGGTTCTCTCCAAAGATGAGACAACTGACATGGAAAAGCTTGTTGAGAAATGGAGCTCTTCCAACCCTTAAGGCATAGTATATCCTCTTAATTTCAAATATTCTGTTGGGAAAGTAACATATTTTAGAAATGTATTCTGTAGGATGTCTCTGAAATAAAGAAGCCCATTGTTGGATTGCACGTAAATGACATTTTAAATAATTATGATAGAAACCATGATAGAAAATATACAGTTATACTGCTGTTCAGTGTGCTGAAGAAGCTGGATTGTAGATGCCAGTTAAAAGGAAACTGAGGTCTGTAAATATTATTTAAAAGGCATTCCAAAGGTATTATCAGTCTGGATGCTTTCAGTCAAATATATGGTTAAGTTTATGAGTGAAATACACAATGACTTTTTGCATTTTCTGTGGATAACAGCACAAATAATCAGAAAGTAACAGAGAAAATATAGATCACAGCCCTCCAAAAGATTTAAAACAATAATGAACAGGTTACTCAAAAGATCTAAGCATGGAGATACACATTCATAAGGAATTTTCACAGTCACCCATAAGACTTGTGAAACTAAATGTTGGTTGAAAGTATCACTAGGTGACCGGCAGCCACAGGCACTTCAGAGCCTTTGAAAAACCAGCCCAGAAAATCACTTTCAAAAGCCACCAGAGGAATCAAAAATAAAAATGCCGTTGACTATCACCGAGACGGAGGCTGCTTGAGATCACAGTGTCTTCACAGGGTGGGATGTGGCAAGGTGGAGAACATTACCCTTGAGGGATTCAAGGGACAGTTGGCCAAGAGTTATCATACCCTTGAAGGACTCAAGGAACTGTTGGACAAGGGTTATCCCACCCTTGAGGGACCCAAGGGACAGTTTGACAACGGTTGTCCTACCCTTGAAGGACTCAAGAAACAGTTGGCCAATAGTTATCCCACCCTTGAGAGACTCAAAGGGCAATTGGACAAGGGTTGTCCTGCCCTCGGGAGGCTTAACTAACCGTTGGCCAATGGTTGTCCTACCCTTCAGGGACTCAAGTCATGGTTGGCCAAGAGTTATCCAGATGTATGTGTTCCTGGCCACTGCAACAAGTTGCAGCTGGAGAATGGGCAGCCTTCCCTACAGCAGGGACAGGACACCTCCCCTTTCCAAAACACGTTGGATGAACAGAGTCTCAACTTTTGATAGTTATTACCAAGACGGAGAGTTAAGTCATCCAGATCATCCCACAGATGAGTGCAGCAGCTCATGATGAGCAGTCCCAGGGAGGTGCAGGGCAGCTCAGCTTTTAGGTAGAGAAAACAAGTCATTCCTCCTCATGGCTTCCTTCCAGGTTGCCAAACACATGGCAGCTCCCATTCCCGGTAGGCAGCAGGACCATCCCACACAGCGGCTCCACCATGAGGGAGAAGATCTGTTAAGTCAGCCGAATGCCTGGCTGCTGACCACACTCAGCACATGCAGATAAGATTGAGTCACTCTGTTGTCTTCAGACAAGATGTGGAGATTATACCAAAGCTGGAGTCACTTCAGCCTCCTCCCAGTAAGACTCGATACCAAACCGGGCCTCCAGCCGCTCCTTCTCGTCTCTTACACAAGGAGTTGTGTGCTGGAAAAACCTCCACAAATGTAAACTCTGCAGAAAATGTATCGGAGACCAAGCCAGGCTGCAGCTTTGGATCTCACACAGCACAGAGGTTCTGGTGACACAGAGGGGGATGTCGCAACGACTCTTCACAACGATGCCTATAAAGCCGTGTTTCAGAATTTAAAGCTGATTAGAAATGTAGTGCTAAGATTAAGAACCAAAACAGGTGACTCTTGCCCCAAACCAAAGCTCAGAGTGCTCTTGGCACAGCCCCAGCTTCTCGTTGTTTTCACTTTGGGCCAAACCCCAGCCACGTTCCCCAGCTCTCATGGATTTCTGCTGAGCTTCAAAGCAAGTAGAAGTCCCTCTTCCAAGAGCCCTGAAACCATTCCCCACCGCTTCTCCTGGACCTCCTCCCAGATCTGCAGCTTCCTGACCTGCTCCGGGGACACAGGCTGCTCACAGCAGGTTCTTGTGGGACTCCTGAACCACCACTGAAAGCCCTTTGTGTCTCTTTGATCTCTTCTTGTGGTGGAGGAACTGAAGCACAGATCAAACACACCAATGTTCTTCTCCCATTCCTCCTCCTCGAGCCAGACCAAAGCTCTCCCACTTGCTCTCTCTCCAAAGAGGAGACACTGGGGAGGTCTTGTCTGGCTTTTCAAGGGAGCTGATGGCTCCCTGAGCCCACGGGTTTGGGATCAATCGTGCCTTCCCAGCCCTTCATGTTCCCACCGCTGGTCAGTGGAGGGGAGGATGAGTTGGTGGTTCTCAAGCCCTCCTGGTGCCCGGAGGGTGACGAGCTGTGCAGCCTGCTTGGCCACAGCCCACTGGTGCACCAGAGGAGAGGTGCTTGGCCAACATCCATGTCCACGCCTACAGGCAGCTGTAGACCTGCCCTCCCACCACGGCCCACAAAACCACTGCCATCTTCTTTCCCTAACATGTATAAAATTCTACGAGACCAGAAATCTCGTGAGAGGGCACTTAATTGCGTTGGTTGGTTCGTACAAGAGCAGGACAGCCTCATCTGAATTGCTCCTTGTGTGAGCAAAGCATCCCGAACCCCACCAGTCTTGGGCTTTCAGGCACTGAGAGTCAGGAGGCACCATGCAGGCTTGGACACTTGCCTGGCTCCATTCCCACACCCATTCTGTTCCCTCAAAATACAGTCATGACGCATTGAAGGGAAGAACAACCCACACCTTCCCACCAAGATGCTTCCCCAACAGCTAAAGCCACCTTGCCTAGAAGTGGCCTCCAAAGCAAGGACACAAAGACATAATGAATGTTCTCTGCAATTTATTGAGAATGGCAACATCCTGAGGAAGGAGGGCATACACACACAGAAGAGGAAGGGAGGTGGGGACAGCACATCTCATTCCATGTCACAAGAGGCCTGGCACTGATGAGCAAGCTTTGTTCTCTTTAGGAAAAGTCCACGTGTGCCTGAGGTGTTACCAGGTGTGATGGAGAACAAGGACAAGGGGAACTGGAAGCCACTGCTCCACCTGGGGCTACCAGGTGAGCAAAGCTTCCCAGGTGCTCCACCCTGGGGCAGTTAATCCTTCTGGCAACCAGCTGCGAAGATGCTCCACCACTGGCTCTGCCAAGGGAGGAGTCCCACTTGCCCCACACCTACCCTGGCCCCCAAGGCTAGTGAATGGAAGCAGCAGGATGTACCGCATGCAGAAGCACCCCAAGGATACGGCCATTGAGGAAGGGACATGAGAACAGCGGAAGAAAGAGGAGTTTTATACACATTTGCCACGAGGCAGCCAGAAATGTACAACACAGCGAGAGAGGCAGAGCCTTTCCCTCCTGTAAATCAGCTCTTCGTGCCGGGAATCCACGGGGGAGGCTTGGGGCTAAGGAGCAGCTCTCCAGGGCTGCTAATGGGACATGGCACTGCCTTGTCTCCCTCGATGGGACCAAGCCAGGTGGATGAGCTGGTGCATGGTGGGCCATGAGGGACACAGTTCGTTTCGTTACAGGATGCTGGAGCTGGGTTTCAGGAGGCTGGGCTGCTGCCGGGAGAAGAGGGGAGATGCTTCTTTCTGTTTTCAATCTGGCTTTGGGGCTCAGAACCTCACTCCTGAAGACTTGACGGAGGTGGTCGTGACACATCTCCGTACGGAGGACGATCCCCCGCCGGAGCTGAAGTTGCCACCTCCACACATCCTTCCGCTTCCAGAAGAGAAGCCACCGCCGTACATTCCTCCTCCCATGCTTCCAGCTCCAAAGCCACCTCCTACTCCACAAACGCCTCCTCCCATTCCTCCTCCCATTCCGCTGCCACCTCCGAAGCCTCCTCCCATTCCGCTGCCACCTCCGAAGCCTCCTCCCATTCCGCTGCCACCTCCGAAGCCTCCTCCCATGCCTCCTCTTCCTCCAGAGATGGTGGTCCTGCCTACCACAGCTGGAAGAGAAGCACAGGTTACATACACGTCGCCCACTGGCAGGCAGTAGCCACAAACAATAACCATGGTCTTTTGCTGTTTCTGAAGGAAAAAGATGCAGATACTTACAGACATTGACGTTGGACATGCCATCGTTGCACAGCCTACAAAGGGAAATTAGTAACATTTAATTACCTAACAAAAAAAGACTTCTTAAAAACTGAGAACTGTGTGTTCGGTATCAAACCGTTTTGCTCTTTCACTCTCATCAGCAACTTGGGCATCAGTAAAGTATTTAAGGAGGGAAGGTATCAACAAGGTCTCTTTATGATGAGATTCTTCCAGACTTCGGGTTCAGTAAGATATTTGCACTTAACAGGAATGATACAGGGTATGCCAATTATCAGTGCTGACCATCCAAAATGTCACCCAGAGACCCAACAGCCATCTCGACCCATTTGAACCAAAAGAGCTGGGTTGAGATTACACTCTCAACATCAAAACTCAAGTTGTCCAGCCCAGATCACAACATCCCTCTCAAATGTTGAGGTCAAGGGTTTACCTGTTCTCCTCTCCCTCCAGCAGCTTCCTGTACATGGCAATCTCAACGTCCAGGGCAATCTTGATGTTCAGCAGCTCCTGGTACTCCTTCAGCAAGCGAGCCAGCTCCTCCTTGTCTTTGCTCAGGGCACATTCCAGCTCTTCCAGTTTCACCCTGGCATCCTTGAGGGCCATCTCACCCCGCTCCTCGGCTTCAGCAATGGCTGCCTGCAGCTGCTGGTTCTGAGGAAGAAAAAAAGGCACTTTTCAGAACCCATCTGGTCACTTCAGATCAGCCCTCAATGCCCAAGCGTTGAGTCAAGGTTAAGAAAAGGGTAACATTTACATTTAGGTAACCAAGGGGAGTTGAAGCAACCGTTTCTGCCCCTCACACCGTCATTTGTTATCCAACCTGATGAGACACCACCCAACCCCTACCTGTTTCTTCACATTCTCAATCTCAGCCCGCAGCCTCTGGATGTTCCTGGTCAACTCTTGGATCTCGATCTTGGTGTTGCGCAGGCTGTCCCCGTGCCTTCCAGCCGTGGTCTGCAGCTGCTCGTACTGAGGGCACCAAGACAAAGCCACCCATCAGTGACACATTCCTGATGCCCAAACCAGGCTTGTCAACATTTCCACAGCTCACGTGCTGCTACAAACCCTCATCATGTTGGTCTTGGATGCCCAGCTCAATGTAAAAGAGGGGTCTGAGACTCAATTATTGGTTTTGAACTTTGAGGTAGGTCTTAGTCACATTAATTAACGTCCCTTCATTTCTGAAAAGCTACTTTGGGCAGGCGCTTTCTAGTTAAAGTACATTTTTGGCCACGTTTATTGAGACACATTTACCATGCACCAACATGAGACTCTGGGCATCTTGAAAACAGTAAGTCACACCCTTCAAAAGCCACACAAGTCCTCTTGGGACTTCCTTGCCAGGGCTCCAGCACCGTTAGCTTAAGGAGATGTCTCACTCTGTCGCAAATTATCTACCCAGGCTCCTTAATTGCTTCCCAACTCACCTGGCTCTGGTACCAAGCCTCAGCCTCGGCTCTGCTGCTCTGAGCGATCTGCTCGTACTGGCGCCTGACCTCCTCGATGATGCTGTCCAGATCCAGGTGCCGGTTGTTGTCCATAGACACCACCACAGAGAGGTCCCGGCTGATCGTCTGCATCTGAGCCAATTCCTGCAACCAAGACAGGAGTGAGCCTGACTGTCTGAGGAGGGGAGAAAGGAGCTGAGACTCCAACCAGCCTCCCCAGACCACATCCACATGGGCACCCAGGGCAACCTCAGGGGCTTTGCCCACCACATGCCTCATGGCAGCTCCAGCCAACCCCATCCCAGGGGAAGGAAGAGCTCTTACCTCCTCATAGATGCACCTCAGGAAGTTGATTTCATCGGTGAGAGCTCCCACCTTGGCTTCCAACTCTACTTTAGTCATGTAGGCACAGTCCACATCCTACAGGAAAGATCACAGGGAATGCTTTGACTTCCTCTTGGAAATCCTCCATGGAAATTACAGTCTGTACGGAGGGTAACAGCTGTGATGGAGCTATTCATTTATGCAAATTAAAAACAAAGGACTTCAAATGTCAGCCCACGGATTCTATTATCTCTCCAAATTTCCATTCAAGAGGGAGTCCCCTCAAAGCCCAGATACAGCCTGATATTCCAGCCATGGTTTCATAGTGCGTGACTCACCTTCTTGAGCACCACAAACTCGTTCTCGGCAGTTGTGCGCCTGTTGATCTCTTCCTCATACCTATGGAAAGTAAAAGTACAGGCTGAGCTTCCTGAATTTTCCTGCCTACGGCCACACTAAGCAAACTAACAGGGGAAAGAAAAATACAGAATTAAATATTTAGACTGAAAAAGCGATGACTGCAACTGCCATAAAAGGTGTGTGTGAAGAAAAAGGTCTACAAAGCTGCTCGAGCTGCTCTCCGGGTTAGACTCTCACTTACTTGGTTTTGAACTCCTCCACGTATTGCTGCATGTTCTGCAGTTCCGACTCCAGCTGCCCCCTCTGCCCCAAGACGGCATCCAGCTGCCTCCTCAGGTTCTGAATGTAGTTTTCGAAGATGACGTCGAGGTTCTTCCTTGGCCCTGAAGGCCCTTGCTGTTGGAGGAGCTCCCACTTGGTGGAGAGGACCTTGTTCTGCTGCTCCAGGAAGCGGACCTGAAAGCCAACACATGGAGGATCCACCGTCACACGGGGAACAGCAGCAGAAGCCAAGACACCCCTTTCATCATCTAAAAAGGGTGTCGATTCTCCTTTGCAGGACAATGACGGAACCAATTAACTTTTTTTTAAAATTTTCCCTTGTTGCCTAAACTGCAAGATCGGGAAAAGGAGGAAATGTCTAAGACATATTCAAGTCAAAGGAGCTTTCAAATGTAGGACCAGCTCCAAGTAGATTCCCGTCACAGGTAATGTGGAAATCTTAGATTTCTAGCCTAGATTTAAAAGACTGGACATTTGAAAACAAAAATTAAAAAAAAAAAATATATATATTAATGAATACTTCAAGGGGAGGGTACTTGGAAAGAGAGCAGCACGGGAGGGACAATTTGTGCCCGAAACCTGCGGGTGTTTGGAGGCGTTGAGCCTGCTGCAAGAGTAACCCATGAGGTGAACCTGGTGCAACAGGCTGGAGTCAAGCCCCGGAGACAGAGCTTTGATCTCGTCGGGAAGAGAGATTCTCATCTCCTCCCCAGCAGTACTTAATGAAAAAATTTTGCTCCAGCTCCTCAGCCTGACGCTATCTAGCTCAGAAAGGACATTTCTGCAGAACTTGAAAGTTTCTCCCAAATTTGACCCTTGACTGGCCCCAATCGCACCCTCTCACCTTGTCAATGAAAGAGGCAAATTGATTGTTAAGTGTCTTGATCTGTTCCTTCTCCTGGTTTTTGACTTGCTGGATCTGGGGATCAATCTCGACATGGACTGGCTGTAGGAGGGCTGTGTCAACCTGCACTGGCTGGATTCCAGGGCCACCTCTACCGGGGCCACCAAAGCCTGCCATGCCAAAGCCTGGGCCACCAAAGCCGCCCATTCCTCCGCCGCCCATTCCTCCACCGTAACCGCCCATTCCCCCACCGTAACCACCCATTCCTCCACCACTCATTCCTCCAAAGCCACACATTCCTCCTCCACCCATTCCTCCACCAAAGCTGCCCATTCCTCCTCCGTAGCCTCCACCAAAGCCACCCATTCTGCCTCCGTAGCCTCCACCTCCGTAACATCCACCCATGGAAATCCTTCCACTACCACCCATGTTGTGGAGGCTCTTGCTGGTAAACCCTCCACAACGTCCACCACCTCCAAATCCCCTGGACATAGAGAACGAGCTGTAGCTACTCCTGCTTCTGCCACCACCTCCTCCAAAGCCACCACCGATGGCAGAGCAAGAGCTGTAGCCCCTTCTACTCCCGCCTCCAAAGCTTCTGCAGACAGACTGACGAGACATGGCTGTTTCTTCTGAGTCAAAAAATCGAGAAGGTGAGAAGATGAGGAAGACGGATGGAGCTGTGGTGCGAGGAGGTGAGTGCAGACAGAAGGGAAGTGAGTCCCTCTGACTGGAGGGCAGAGGATGCTCCCTTTTATCTGTTCCTGGAGGTGGGCAGGGTTTTGCATGGGCGTGAAGGAGGAGACAGCTACTGTCTTCATCAGCGTGGCGTGGTTTACAGATTTTCATCTTCAATTTGCCAAACATTGACCCTACCCAGAAACACACCCTTGTAATGCAGGAGAAAATTATTAAAAAAAAAAAAAAAAAGAAAAAAAGAAAAGATACAACTGTCTCTCCCCAATGGCAGCGCTCAATGACTAAGAAGCCTTCTGCTTTTGTGGTGGTGGTAACAGTCTCCCTCGGATACACCAGTCCTTGTTGTTCCACCTTTCATCCGTTGCGGTTGTTTCCCTGCTTGTGTTTATCTCTATTTCCATCTCTCTCTCCAAAGCCCCATGGCAGGCAAGTGCTGCCCTTGATGCCAAGTTGTAGCACGGCTTTCACAATTCCCAAAACACACCTATGTTACACCCTTCGTCTTCTTTTTACATGGAAAATTGCCTTTGGCTTGGAGAAGTAGTTTCTCAATCCGGAGCCAGGGCTCAGCAAATTGCATTTTGATGAGGCTCTGTGTCTTTTTGATAAATAAAACCTTACCAGAAACAAGATACAGGGAGCAATGGTTGGCACTGGAAATTCATTTATTGTTGGACCAAACTCTTACAGAAAGTGAGTCCCGGAGCCTGCGTGCCAAGAGACTCTCAGCACCGGTGAAGAAATGCCACGAGTATCACAGACAGGAGATCCCTGTAGGATTTTCTGAAGGTTTCAAGACCTTCACGTAGTCTTGAAACCTTCAGAAAATTCTGCAGGGATTCAAGACCTTCATGTGGTCTTCAAACCTTCAGAAAACTCTGCAGGGATTCAAGACCTTCACGTGGTCTTCAAACCAGAGAAGACACCGGGAAGCCAGCTGCTGGGACGGACGGACAGACAGACAGACAGAGGGCTCTGAGGACTGACAGCATGCAAAGTCCCGCTGCCCACATAATAAACCCAGCACCTATTTACATGCAATTAGCTCGGCAGAGGCTGCTGGAGGATGCTCAGCTCGTTTGTGGAGACACATAGACATGGGGAGAAGAGAGGGCACAATCACTTTCACTGGAGGAAGTCCGTGTTTTCCAGCTGCCAGGCTCGTTTCAGTGTTTGTATTCAAATATATCCTTGGTGGAGGTAGACACTTGGAAGCTGTGTCGAGCCCTCCTTCAAGAAGGGGGGTAGGTGTCCTTTTTAAGCGTATTTGGGAGCAGACACCAGGTTTTAGGAAGGCAGAAAACTTATCTGAATATACTGGATTTGGTGCCCCACTGGGAAAGGATTAATTTAAGAGTTAAAGGTGCGATAGTAATCCTGTGACCCATCACGCCCTCATCCCTTTGTCTTGCAGGAGCCTGCTTATCAAACAACAATTACTGCCCCCTTTTAATGGTTTTTATTGAGAAAATCCCCGGGTTTTTTTATTCATTTTCAACTTTTTAAAGCCACCTAAGAACTTCTGAAGCCCAAAACCCTTTACGAGTGCTGAGGCAGCTAACAGTGCTGGTAGCCGCCTAACGAGGTGCTCAGACGTTCCCACAGGACATAGGCAATTATGTGCTTCTTGAAAATCCACACTGGCAACTCCTGGTGTCTTCAGATGTTTAAATACCTCTAAAAATATCGCCCAGACACCTATTTCCCAAAGCGCCTAGGGACCCGGACCGTGGCGTAACGCGCAGCTCAACTGGCATTTCCACTGAAAACCCCAGTTGTCCCTGCCCCTCCTGATGGTCCCACCTCCCTCCCCAGCCCCACCAGGGGCTCCTGAACATGGGGAGAAGTGGAGCAGGGGACAGATAGGGCTAAAAAATGTATATATTGAGAACAAGTCACTGTGAGACCCAGGGGGTGGGGAGGACGGGGGGTTTGGTGGTTGTAGAGATGGTTTATAAACAATAAATAGGTGGGCTGAGGAGGTTCCGGGGGGGTTGGTGGTCTTCAGCCTTATTGGTGGTCTTTGTTTCCTTGTCCTGGTTTGAGACCCAAACCAGGATGCTCCGAAATGCCACAGTTGGGACAACTACATCCCTGGCCTTCAGGGGTTTGAAGAACAACCTCAACTATCACCACAACTGTCTCAGCCCCTCTCAGGGTGATGGCCAATGTCATCTCCCATCTCCAGGAGGGACAAATCCCTGGCAAGACCCAGGCTGTGAACAGGCTCCACTTCTGATTTGTCAGTCAAACACGTTCCACGGCACAGAATTCAGGGGGGTGGTGGGTTTGTAGCTGCTGTAGATACTACCACATCTATCCACATGGACAGGCGCCTTCCCTTGCCTCCCTCCTCATTGCCACGACCTGCTGACATTTTTCTGGGTTGTTTTTTTGTTGGTTTGTTGGGCATGGGGGGGGGTTAATTTTTTTTTTTTTTTTTTTTTTTTTTTTTTTTTTTTTTTTTTTTGTCGATGGGGTGGGATGAGGCCATCAGAAAGTTTTCGGGGTCCCAGCGGTGGCAGGAGGAGGTGCGTGAAGGCTGGAGTCCCCCAGCGCCCCGTGTTTGGATCCAGCGCCGGGGTTGAGTCACAGCCCCGTCACCAGCCAAGTTTAGGAAATCCAGCTGGGATTTGGATATCGACACCATCTCCCGGCTCCAACGCAATCGGCAGCTTTAGACCGCAGGGAGCTCAAACAACATCCTTGTACCCAAAGCCCTGAGGAAGGAAAATGAGCTTTAAAGGTCCCTTCCAGCCCAAACGACTCCATTGTTCTGTGATTCTATGAAAATAAATGGGCAGAAATATGGGAAAAGCTCCTCGAGCCTTGAATACTTGGGGGAAAAGGAGAATACTTGAAGGAAAATGTGAATACTTGGGGGAAAAGGCAAATACTTGAAGGAAAAGGTGAATACCTGGAGGAAAAGGTTAATATTTGAAGGAAAAGGTGAATACTTGAAGGACGAGGTGAATACTTGGAGGAATAGGTGAATAATTGAAGGAAAAGGTTAATACTTGAAGGAAGAAGTGAATACTTGGAGGAAAAGGTTCATTTCAGCAGCAACACTTTCAGCCAACCTGGACTGAGCTTCTTCCACCACAAAAAGAGAGAAATTGGGGGTGGAGGGCGGGGAGGGGAAGCAAAGCAGAGCATTTAATTCCCACACTTTCCATAAAACACTCGACATCTAAGCATTCTCTCTCTGCTTTAGAAGGAGCTTTTGAAAGGGGGCGGAAATCATGACGCAATTAAATGAAATTATTTTGGGGCACGTAAAACGCTTTTCCCTTCTCCAGCAAAAGGCAGAAATTATGTCACATCTGGGTCCAGCCCAGCAGAATTCTCCCCTAATTGCTGGTGCAATCATAGGAACAAAAGGCGAGGGCTTTTTGGTGTCTGTTTGTCTTCGCTACGGGCTTTTGTCCTCATCCAGAAGCCTTTTGTCTCCTCGTCACCCGTGTCAGGAGTCATTCGCTGGAGGCAAGTTTACACAGAGGCGGGGAGGTTGGGGTGGCTCTTGGGGAAGGAGATGTCTTTTCATTCAACGCCCATCTCAGGTCCTTTTACGACTCAGGGGAATATTTCAGCCTTGCCCAAAACCATCTCCCCATCCAAGTAGTGGCACGCCTTCGCTGGCAGCGTGGTGACATTCCGTGGTGGCTGGTACTTTTATGTCTCCAGCACTTACAAACAGGGAACGGGGCATGGGATAAGTGAAGTGACTCATGGGGATGGCAGAGCAGGTCTGCGGTTGACCAGGGACATGATTCAAGGTCTCCTGAGCCAGAGGTCAAACCACAGTGGAAGTTTTTGGCTCTAAATTCACAGGTCATCAAAAATACCCTCCTTTTGTGGAGAGGTGGGGCTTGACATGGGGGTTGGGATCTTGCTCTTCCCACGTTCTCAGTCACCTTTTGGAGGCACCTTGAAAGCAACCCATGGATCCCTGGCCACAGATCAATGGTAGGGGTGGCTCCAGCATCGTGGACGCTGAGGAATTAGCTCTGACGGGTGATGATCACCCTTCCCTCTTCCACACCATCCCTCATAGGGTGCTCCAGAAGCACTTAGGGCTGTGCAGTGTCTTTGCCGTGACAGCACCAGCAGCACTGGGACCACCTTGGAGGACAGGGAAGCTCGGCTGTAGGCTGGTGGTGTGCTGGGAGGCTGTGGTCAGAGGTGGGCTGGCCAGGGGATGTCCCAAGTTGGCCAACACAAGCAAGGAAAGGGCTTAGGAAGAGAAAGGAGAAGAGAACGGTCTCCCAACATCAACAGAGTCCCAAAGTCTGCTCTGCTCCAAGGGGGCCACCTGCCTTGGTCACCCCAGGACCCCCAGCAGAAGGACAGAGGAGAACGTCCAGGCTCAACCCAGCTGCCTCCTTCCCTCCAGCCGCGCTACCAGGAACGGGCTGGTTCCCACGGGTGTCGTTCAGGAACACCCCATTTCCAGCAGGACCAGACCATCCCACGGAGACAGACCCTCCCCACCTTTGCCCGACCCTCCTTCACCACCACCCCCCCCCAACTCACAAACTTCCCATCTTTTTAGAGAGAGAAGTGTGAGAAGGAGGAAAGACCGGGCTACGTGTGGGCTTTGGTTCCTTTAAATGTGAACTTCAAAGGGCAGGAGAAAGTCAGGAACCACTTTCAGGTCTCAGCAGAAGCCGAGTCCTGTCGCAACACGAAACTCTTCGGGTTCAGAGAGAAAAACCACATGAGTTTTACTGCCTCTAGTGTTTATTGGGGTACGCCACGCGCCAAAGGAGAAAGGCTTAAGCAAACAAGCACAAGTGTTCCCATGATCACAGCGAGGGGGGAAAAAATAAACAACAACAACAAAAAAAAAAACCAAACAAACAAGGTAAACCCTGAGCAAAACTTAAAAACATTTTACAACAGCTTCTGAAGGACGCGGGTGAAAATGGCGGTATCTTGCTTAGGAGGAAAAACAAAACAAAACAAAAACAAAAACCCAACCCAACCAACAAACAAACTGCAGGGGGGTAAGAA